GTTTACATTGCGTGTCTATGTTTATTGTTAATTATGTGTGTGTGTATGCTCAATTTACCAACATTCAAAATATGATCATTATAAATAGTCTTCGTAACAATATTTAATATGTTACAAGCTTTAATTTACAATAGGGATGATGACTATTTTTTTTTCCTCGTTTATCAGGTAGATTATCAAAAAGTATTATATTAGTATTATTGGACACGTATTTTTTTTTCACATAATATAAACATTACAGAGATATATTGATTTGAAAAGTCGCATGACGTCACGCTTTGGTACAATTTTCACTTAAAAGTGACGTCACGAGCCCCTACTCCCAAACTTTGACGTGCTATAACATTGTAATTTTTTGGTTGATTGCCCAAAGGATAAAATACGTGTCCATTATTTATTGACCATCCAACTGACGGACTAAATAGAATTTCGTTTACTTTACCCCGTCATCATGCCTATTTTATACATTTCCAGTCAGTCTTTCGGCCCACCTACCATTTTCCGGTTTTGGCGGTCCCTAGCTAAAATATATATTTCATTGAGCAAAAAGTTATTACCTACGCAGTTTTGAAGCTGTTTATTGACCATATTTTCGTGTTTTTAAAATTATTGGTCAAACATAAACATATTTTTGCTACAGGCCATTGAAACTTATAACACTAAGTGTCGCCGCAGACGGGCCACCGAGCACAACCACAAAACACCGCCACCGGCATATTTCTTGTAGTTTTCATACATTTTATATGGACTCGCCACATACGGTACGCCGGTGGCCGCCACACGCTACAAATCGTCGATTCTCGCTTCTTGTTTAAGCTTTAAGGCCGCACCAGCCACTTAAAGCGCCGATACAAAACGCCACCATACGTCACTACAGCCACAGCCACAAACGCCGCCACAAGAAGCTAGAAGCGGCTAAAGTCAAGGGAGTAAGGCAAGGGAAAGAGAGGTGCGGTATACGACGATTTGTAGCATGTGGCGGCCACCGGCGTACCGTGTGTGGCGAGTCCATATAAAATGTATGAAAACTACAAGAAATATGCCGGTGGCGGCGTTTTGTGGTTGTGGTCGGTGGCCCGTGTGTGGCGACACTTAGTCGGCGGCGGTCGCGCGCTTCAGCCACTTTAGTAGCCGCTTCTAGCTTCTCGTGGCGGCGTTTGTGGCTGTGGCGTGTAGCCCGTGTGCAGCGATACTAAGTGGGCCGATAGATGTGTGCGGAAGTATCTTTAAAAGTTAAAAAAGAATGGGACATTATATGGATTGGTTGTAATCTGATGACCTGTTTTGATGATTCTGTAAAGAAAATCTCACTTCCGACGAAATAAAATGTCGCGTAGACGCTCGTAGCATAGTACTCTTAGCACGAAACAATATCGAATTCGCATAGTTTGCCAGTCCGAAATGTCATTGTCAAATTTTGTATGGAAATTTGAACAGCAGCGCCACAACGGACGTTACGAGAACTAAAAATCGGTGCACATTTTTCAATGACATTTCGTACTCGCAAACGTTACGAATTCGATATTGGTTCGTGCTAAGGGTACTACACTGATTTTACTCGTAGCACATATTAAATTCGTAGCGTTATATCTCATTTACTGTTAAGAGACCGTAGTGGACGTCGACCGAAAAACCGCAAATAGATGTACAGGACCGCCGTTAGGACAAATTTTCTTTTAACTGAAAGTACCTGTGTGTGCTTTCAGTTAACTAACAGTGTCACTAATATATATGGCTTTCTTAAGTAAAAGCTATTAGAGGAATAGTAAAACATTTTGTGTAGCCGACTGTAGTATTAAGGTCCTCGTTCATTTAGAGCCACCTGGTATCCGTCCAGCACCGCCGCCAACGGGTGGTCCTCGGTTGGTTATTTGTATATCGAGTAACTTATTGGGTTTATAAATGAGGAGCTCGATGTCGCGGTTGGTTAGCGTGTTCGGTTGCAATCGTTGAAGTTAAGCAACTTTCGCAGTGGTCCGTCATTGGATGGGTGACCAAAAATTTAATATCTCGAGCTCCACCGTGCTTCAGAAGACGCGTTAAGCCGTTGGTCCTGGCTGCATCTGTAGTCGTTAGTATGCGCCAATCCTCACTGGACCCACGTGGTGGGTCATGGCCCAATCTCCCTATTCCAACAGATTTCAAAGGCCGTCGCGATGTTTATTATATAAAAAGCATATCTACTATATGTTTGTGGGCTTTTTTTATTTATTTAATATAACTTCTAGTAATAAAATGTTTAATATATTTATTTACACAAACTAAAAACTAATTTAATTTAAACTTAATTAATTACATATACATAACTTTAATATTTACATCACACTAGATACATTACACAGACACATTAATAGTAAGTCAACATCGTTTGTTCTACGCGCGTAGGGAGTTTTCGCGTTTCATGCGAAAACCACAGCCTTTTTGAATGCGTGAACTTCAGTCAATGTCCGATGTTGATGCGCTCAAATCTGTTTGCCAATTGTTGTTACTGATTTCGTTTGTTCGCTCATAATTTGTGTTTCTACGTGTTGTATTGTGTTACCGTATTAGCCTTCTGTTTACATTATGTTAATTGTTACGAGTGACAATTTGTTGGACCCTCCTATAGGATTACCAAGAAACTGTATGTATCATTGAACAACACCCGTATATACACACGATTATATCCACACTAGCAAACCAGTGACCCAAATGTTCACCAAAACCTGATTTCTCGAAAACCGAAAGTGCTACGTTACTCAAATCCGGTTTGTAGTCTTATCAGACTATTCTTAACTTATAACTTAAATATTCTCTTTATCTATCTCTTACGGTTTGGCCGCTGAAACAGCACCACAGACAGACGGACGGACTTGTCTAATAGATAAGAGATGTTGATACGGTCTCTAGGCATATATGCAATCAAAGGCAGTTTGCTTTGCTATCTGCACATGACCAGATTGTAATTTGATGTAGTTTTTATAGAAATCCATACAAAAACACTAACCCCGTGAGGCAGTGGGGTGCTAGTCAGATGCTGGGTGGTTTAAGTGAGCAATGACCTTAATTATCTCACACAAAAGTTTGTCGTGAGAGCTTCTTATAGGCCCCAGAGGCGAATTATGGCCGCAAATGTTGTCCCAGCTAACCCATGGAATAACTCACTTAATTAACTTATGCGTAACCAACTCAATTAGCTGAATGTACAGTGGTATTTTAAATGCTTAATTTTCCGCAAAGACGGTAATTCCCCCTTGATTTTTCTTGTAACAAAAAAATGAGAATATTACTTTTGTTGAACGCAAAGATAGAAATTAATTAAAAATAATACACCCGAGGCTTTAAGAGTTATTAGACACTGTCTGATGATTTATAGGAATTTTCATGATTTGAAAAGCAATAAAAGTCTTACAGCCGCAATCAAAAAAGTTAATTAAATTTACTTATTTACCGCAATCCAAAAGTTAATTAAATTTACTTATTTTAGTGACAGCGCTAACTTGAAACATATTTACTTAAATTAAAAAAAAAAGTAATAGAACATATCTATTTTATTGTTAGTAATGTGTATTTTGTTGAATGAGTGAATTTTCAAGATAAAGCACCAATAATAAAAAAAAATGTGTACAAATACATACCTAGAGAATGATTGCAATATAGCATTATGTCGATTGTGGCCGCCATCGCAACTGTTTCTGCAACCAGTTGTCTATGAGGATTTTTTATTCTTTCATCGCAACCAGTTAAAAAATAAGAATTTTTAGTCAGTGATAAGGCGAGTAAAAAAGCGACGGATGTGAACAAAAAAATGAACTCTTTCAATGCAACTATGCTTTTAAGATTAAACCTTGACGGCAACTGGTTGTGTTTCAAGAATAGAACTACTTCTATCACAACTGCTTCCCGTGAAAGAATAAAAAATCGTCTAGTTGCAAAACACAATTGCAATAGCGGACGATATTTCTTAATTTTAAAAGCAAAAGAACAATAGTATTTTCAGGTGTCTGATTTAAATGGGTCATTTAAATTATAATGGTAATTTAAATATTTTCCATTAAGTAGTCCAAGTTTAGTTACTGGGTGATTACTTTTTTGGGGAATCATCTATTTTATGCTCACACTGGTAAACATAAAAAATTCAAACATACGAAAATAAAACATTAAAATACATCAAACGGACTTAATATATAATGTATTAATTGAAAGCTCGACTCGGTGAATGTGACAATTACTTGGAATCGGATTCGTGTTGAATGTATAAGTAATTTATCCTTATAAACATGGCTGGAGAATTTCATTACAAATTGCAAATTTAAGTTATCAAACCGCTTTGTCAAAGTTTATGATTTCGTTATCTTTACTTCGTAGTGTATTAAATTAATACAAAAAATTGAAAGACTTATAAACAAATTAATTATGTTTGTCACCATTTTAATTCCCTGATCTTTGGAAAGTTTATTTTATTCAGATGAACTGTAATAACTTCGTTTAACCCTTATGGCTGTTTTATTTGTCTGCTCTTTAAATAAAAAATTATACTATTACAGAGTCGTGGTAATTTCAATAATAAAGAGCGTGGATAAATAGAAATCATTCCTGTGGGACTAACTTATCGCATTACATTATTTTTGTACAAGTTAAGTATTTGTGAGTTTTGCTGCAGCCAGTTATTGTTGTGTTGTAAATTGAAACCTTTTTGTGTTCACTCGTGTACTTTAGAATCCACAAAAAACATGCAATACAATATAGCTCATATTTAAATGATCTTCAAAAAGTACAATTTGGTAACATAACCTTAAGATTTCCAATTGTATTTTTAGGTGATCATTTACTATTTTTTGAGAATCATTTAAATATTTTCCGAATTGTCTTACAAAATTTAAAACAATTAGGTCATTCATTTGTTCTATTTATATATAATAAATAGAGTAGGACCTAAAATACCACCCCGAGGAATGCCACAAGAGTTGTTACTCAAATCGGATCTCTGAACGCTGGTAATGAAACATAAGTGTTTGCAGATGATGATAACCCCGTCGTACCTGGTGATGAAGTGAATCACCTGGCAACTCTGCCCGAGGAGGAGGCAGCTGTCGCCATGATGGGACTGCCCCGAGCTGGTGAGATCACACGAGCGCAGCTAAGGATCAAGGAAAGCAAGGAGTTTAAGGTATTGTAAACTTTTTAGTTTTGCTTAGGTTTAGCGCCTCTTGTTAACTGCCGTGATGTTATACCACCGAATTGTGCTTAGTCAAAAATTATTCGTAACAAACCATTAATTAATGCAATAATAATAATATTTGATAGACTTAGGGCCACCTGCAGAAAATTAGCTAAATCTCGAAGCAACTATAACCAGATCTATCCTTTATAATATTTTCAAAACGTCAATGTCCATTTGACATTATTGTATAGGCTACATCTTTATGAGTTAAAATACGTATCTATAAAATTATCTTTTTTTACTTTTTTTCAATGTTATCTTTAATGAAGTATAGACTAGAAATTAGTAGACTTATAACAATGTTACGGTGTGGAATTACATATTAACGCATAAGATTTACAAAATAAAAAATAAAGCAATTACCTCTGTTTTCAAAATAATTAAACTTCTGTGTATTCCCAACAGAACACAGTCGACAAATTGGTGCAGAGAGCGAATGCTTCCATAATAATTGGTACATCTTCCTGGAAAGAGCAGTTTTCAGAAGCTCTCACCGCCAGCTCAGGTAAAGAAATTCGTAGAAATGTTTTAATATTCATTATTATAAGTATGCTCTTTATATTCTCGGTACACCTATTAGCTTCTTTGTAACCGGATACTGGCAATTTGGAGATAAAAATTGACGTACAAAATGACGTTAAAACTCTTCAAAGGTTCAGTACATCGGGCACATTTTTATATTTGGAAGAAAAATGAGGATGCGGTCCGACTGATGGTAAGCGGTCACGCCTGGTTGAAAATAATTTTTGAACTTTCACAACAACCTACCAATGTGCACTTTTGCTTAGGTACGTTTGGATGTCCCTAATAACACAAACAGTCGCACTTTAATAAGGGAGACAAGGTTTGTATGACTTTTTTACCACCAATTAACTTCTACGAAATTCCTGGCATTTTTGTATTGAATTTCAACATTTGTCAATTTTTCATATTTCTGGGCACATACTATTCATGTATCAGAACGCACTTATAACGGTTAACATATCTTGCATTATTTCATTTTATAAGGTAAGTAATTGCTTTCCCGAGTCTTTTCAAGGCTCACGATGCGGATGATTCTTGTGGTTATCGCTTTGATTACAAATTTAATGAATCTATGAATATACGTTTTCACGAAAAGGTCTTTGATCACTCAACAAATCGACCATTGAAGTAGTAAACTTTATTCATTGACCTAAATCTGTTACATTTATCATCAAGCTAAGCAAAGGATTCAAATCATATTATGAAATTCACGCACTAGTAAATTTCATTATTCCACTTCGGCTGTTTTCAAAACCATTTTTTGAAACCGGTTTCGATAAAAGCATTTTAATTCTTCTTTCGAAAAATATTTCAGCTTTCGAAATTAGTTTCGAAAACAATAATTAATAATTCTTGCTTCGAATCTCAACGATTACTCATACAATCTTACCCTCTAGCCATTTTTGAAACCAGTTTTGAGAGAATAATATTATTTTTCTTTCGAAACTGGTTTCCAAAGAAAATGTAAAAATAGGGTTACATAGTATGGGTACGTTCCCAATGTTCAATTATTTAGATGCAATGGAACGTTACGCCTATGTGGTCAGAATTTTTCATATCAAAAACAAAGGTATTTTTTGTACCGGTTTCGGAAAGAGAAACTTATTTCTTATTTAGCAACCGGTTTCTATTTTTAAATAATATTTTTAAAATTAAAATTCGTCTTTCGAAACTTCTCTCGGGTTTCTATCATATGATGCCGATATTAATTTAACACATCATAACTTCTCTGTAAGATTGCATGTTATGGCTTTATTGGCAGTAAAACACTTTATGGTGAGTAAAGATATTATGCGTCAGATCATCACACATAGAACAATGTGTTGGAGTGGCGTTGCTTTTCCGAAACTGAGAGGAATAAGGCTCTGCTCAGAGCTTAAATGTATTATTATCAATTCTAAGGGTATAATAACAGGCGATGATTAATTGTTCACGCATAGATTTGATGCCGAGCAGTATATTAAAAATTATAGCCACATAAAAAAATTAAAATATAAACTTTTTAACAAAAAAATTCAACCGCAACCGCCTTAAAAGTAAAAAGTAATACTTTGACTTTTTTTATCTTTAGTCCAATTAATATTTGGAGTTGGTGCCATACAAGTCTGATAGATCTGAGTTCCCATTTACTACTTGAGTTAGCCTGGCACTGGCACCGACTCCAAATATTAATTGGACTAAAGATAAAAAAGGTTTATATTTTTTTACTTTTCAGCGGATTTTTTTTTGTTAAAACCTATATATTCGTATTTAATTATAATTTGTATGCTGTGCCATATTTAAAAAGAGAAAACTTTACTTCTACTTAAAATGCCTAAAGGTTTTTGGTGTTAAATTCTGGTTTACCTTCTATTATTATCTTTTTATTTTAATCTGTGTCCTGCAGTCTATCGCTGTGCTTATTGTCTTATTTATTTATGTATATTTTCTACCTTTCCACTATGCATGCTTCTCGCACTAACTATGGATGGAACCTTCTTACCTCCCGTGAGTAAGCTTTTTCTTCTCTGTCACTCTGTACCTCTTCGAATAATCTTTGGTTTTCTTATTATAATTCTAACGGCGTACTCTTCAAATCGACATTTGATGTAACGTGAACTTTGTCGTGTTGTGCCCTAAAACAATTTAAGTTATAGAATGCTTAACGATATCGTAAACGATTTATAGAAAGTTGAGTACGTGCGCTGGGTTCTTTATGACATAAGATTATTTATTGCATGCTTTGTTATTATAATAAAACGATAAAAAAAATGAAGGATCATTATTTCTAGAAACATTGACTAACTTGGTGTATTGTTGTCTTTTTCAACTATACATAAATATGAACAAAGAGGAGTAATAAATATTTGCGGCTGTACGGATAGATATGAACTTTGACGACCTCCGTGGTCGAGTGGTTTGTACGCCGGGTTTCATGGTGTCGCCGACTCTAGAGGACCCGGGTTCGAGTCCCGGTGGGGGCAGATGTTTGTGTGATGAATACGACCATTTGTACTCCAGTCATGGATGTTTCATACGTAATTCGGTATAAATATACTTATATGTGTACCTACTGTATATGTATTCTATCCGTTACCCTAGCATCCCATAACACAAGCCTTACAGTGCTTACTTTGGGGCTAGGCTAATTGGTGTAAGTGTTGGAAATATTTATTTATTTAACTATCAGGCTTTATTAAAGTTGAATGTAATTCTCCATGAAAAACAATACAACAATAATAATAGACAATATAACATGTAGTTTAGGTAATAATTATAAAATTTCATTCAGTAACGAATTAAATAACACTAATTTTGATAAATAAGACAGCCAGTCAACCTCATCCAATCAGATCGTCACCTTGAGGTAAAAATCTCGATCGATTGTAAATTTTGTATCAACTAAGGCCGCGTTGTTTATTCTATAGTTGAATTTGACTAAAGTTAATGCTCAGGTTGATGAAATTAATGTCACGTCAAATAAAAAAAAATATATAAATATAAAAAACATATGTGTAAAATTTTGACAAATGGTTACTTTTTTCTATAATAAAATTTGATTATCGATATAACAAGGCGGCCTAAGAGTACCTTGAATTCAATTTGGGTAATTTGGCAGTTTTAGATCAATTGACTTGAAACTGAGCTGTACTGGACACGAATAAGTCTTTAAACATGATCACTATTGCAGGTTCAGACGACCCTGACGACCCGCCTTCTTGGTCCGACTACTTGATGCATGTGCTCACATTGTTCTGGAAGATCATATTTGCCTTCGTACCACCGACTGGTAAGAAAATGGTTTTGTGATGTGTATACCTTTCCAATTTGGATATTATAGCTCCAGCGTTATGCACTATGATTTATATAAGAATCCATAAGAAAGAGTACTTAAGGAGAAATGTAATAGATACGTGCTGCCGACCTTTTTTGATAGATTTAGTTTTTATAGTATTTTGAAGTACTTTTAAAGTTTTTTACATTTTAAGTTGATGAATATAACATAATTGTGATGTAGAGGATTGATAGTTGGTAGAGTAGCCCCATCAGAATCCAAGGCCGTATCGAGATGCAGCCAGGGAGGTCGAATGGGTGGGAAAGACAGGGAGAGGAGAGGACGGTTTAATAATAGTGAGAGGCGAAAGAAAGAGGAGAGGAAAGTAAACGAAACAGAAAATAAATAAAAGGTTTAAAGGATGGGAGTAAGAGTGTAAGGGAATTGTTTCATAGGTTTTCACGCATATCACTCATTAAATAAAACAAGTTTACGGTCAAATAAAAAAACTTAAAATAATAAAACAGAATTAAATAAATTACTTTATTAATTTAATTAGCTGATAAATTTAAGCATAGAAAATAAAGTTTTAAAAATCTTCCAAAATTGTGAAGTGTATTTTCCTAAACACCCTTATTCAAACACGATGTTGCATACATACAACATAATGTCTCAATTTTAAGCCTCCCGGGTGTTAACTTTTTGTTGAAAACCGATTAATGGACACATCGAAGCTAGTTTGTAGTTGTAGATTCTATAATAAGCTTATTTTGATTATCAAGTGCATCTGATTGACAGACATCGGTGGCGGCTACGTGTGTTTCGTGGTGTCCATCATCTGCATCGGCCTTGTGACAGCTGTCATTGGGGATGTCGCGTCGCATTTCGGATGCACGCTGGGCATCAAGGACTCTGTTACAGCTATAGTATTCGTTGCGCTCGGCACTAGTATACCAGGTAAAATGCCACCACTGACAATTTTAATATCCATTACGGTTTTTAACGCTGCTTAAAGTCTGTGTCAGTATTGCAGTCGTTTCTTTGCACTTGGAATTTGGAACTTAGCCTCTTCAATCTTTAGCCAAATCAAAATCAAAACGAAATTCACTCCAAGACCGGGATGTTTTTTTTTTGGATCCGTATTCCTGACTTAATGTTTCGTAGAAGATAATACAATAGACCATGTCGTATCCTGGCCATGCCCTACTATAGACACGAATTTAGACTTTCAAGAACTTTTTATATAAAGCAGTTGCTTCGGGTGAACTCATCGAGATCTAGTCTCACAAGCCGTTCATATCATTCTTCCCCATCAGATACGTTCGCTAGTAAAGTGGCCGCTATCCAGGATAAATACGCGGACGCCTCCGTCGGCAACGTGACCGGCTCTAACGCCGTCAACGTGTTCCTGGGCATCGGCGTCGCGTGGACGGTCGCTGCTATCGTCCACTGGAGCAGGAATGAGAAGTTCCTAGTGGACCCTGGAAAGTAAGTCCACGTGCCGTCGCATTAGAGTTTTTATTTACTCATAAATAAGCACTGGTAATGCGGATTCGATCGCGGTCAATACGTTCTTGATTTCATCATCATTCACTGGAGCCTTAGAGCATATGCTCTAAGACTGGAGCAGAAACGAAAAAGTTCAGTTCCTCGTTAACCCGGGATAGTAAGTCCAAATGATACTATCGTATTAGAGTCTTTTTAGCTAATCACTATTCACTGTAATAGCGGATCCGTTGTTCAAAAGAAAAGAAATGAGAAGGTTCTCGTAGACCCGGGAAAGTAAGTCGACGACCTAATAGTATTAGAGTCCTTTTTTAATTGTTTTTTTTTTACTTTTACGAACTGTTAATGTACCAGCGCCATGGTTGCCGCAAGATTAGGTACACTAGGGTGTTACTGAAGTAACCTGTCACATATTATTCATGGTGTTCCATGCGTGGAATCTGTTACCGATTATCGCTTAAGAAGAGGAGAGGTAGGGCGTAGCGGAAAATCTCCGCTCGAATTAGAGCGCCCGTCTGATGAAGTAACTTTCACCTAACAAAAGACCACAAAATAATACACAGCTCTTTTTCAATCAGATTATTATATATATTAGCGTAGTCAACCCACAAGCAATAACATTGACATTTCCGAGACCTCACACTACACAAGCGCCTCTAGCGGCGGATCCATACCCGGCAGCCCTCATTCTAGTGACAAATAATGACTTGGTTACTTAGCAACGAAGTAGTTAACTTAGCAATGTCTTTCATCATCAGCCTATTAATGTCCCCACTGCTGGGGCACAGGTCTTCCCTATGGATGGAATAGGGAGATTGGGCCATGACATACCACACAGGCTTGGTGGGTGCTAACGACTGTAGATGCAGCCGGGACCAACGGCTTAACGTACCTTCCGAAGCACGGACGAGCTCGAGATAGTAAAATTTTGGTCACCCATCCAATGACCGACCACTGCTAAAGTTGCTTCACTTCAACGATCGCAACCGAATGCGCTGACCACTTGCGCCATCGAGCGGCTTTAACAGTCAGTTCTAACAGTCAAATGTCTTTTATTGTTTATAAATACGACGGTAAGCTCCTTTGTGTTGCAACGATTTCTATATAAAATTTTCTTTCCACAGCCTCGCATTTAGCGTGACCATGTTCTGCTCCGAGGCAGCGTTCGCTGTCCTAGTGTTGGTGCTCCGAAGAAGGAAGTCCATAGGAGGGGAGCTCGGAGGCCCCAAGGGCATAAAGATAGTCACGTCCATGTTTTTCTTCTCTCTATGGCTCGTCTACCTTACCATGTCGAGCTTAGAAGCATATGACGTCATTCAAGGATTCTAAACAGCTCTCTATCGAACAGCATAAAGTTCCTCTAGCCATATTAATGCGTTTAAAAAGCATAGTAATCATCAGATTTTAAAATACTTTTTTCGTACGGCTAGGACACGGGATTGCAAATCACAGAAATGAATAATAATGCGTTCATACTGTAGTTTCTTTAAGCAGTAATCGTCTTCTCAAAACAATTAATACTCATATCTTACACAATGATCGAAAGCGGTTAGTTTTCGTAATAATTAATTATTTACTTTGATGTAATGACAAAGTGATTCTAAATCAAATGGCTGATGAATTTTAAAAAGAATACTCTATAAGAATGAGTGGTATGTTCTCGCGTGTCCAAAAAGCAATGAATCTTGATGTCATTAAAATCTCATATTCATTAATTTCTACACCGTGTCATTAAAAAAACGAAACCGCACGTTTGTATGTAACAATAACGACGCAACAGTAACAAACTCAAATGAATGAGCTCAATCAAAATGTATTAAAATATTTATAAATTAATATCTTCTCTGTCTTATTGTAACTATCTACGATATTAAAAAATAAAATTTAAAACGGTAATGCAAATGTTTCGACTACATGTTAAATATAAATAGACAAACTTCAAACTATATTTCAAGCTTGTTCCATTTTCAAACTTTGAAATATGGTTCCATGTTTAAAATATAGCTCGCAATTTAATTTGCGGGAATTAAACCTATTCTCGTGTTACCTACTTTCTTCCCCTAGAGTTTTACCCTATTCCAAGTTTTATTGAAAACTAGAATAAAATTTTAATCACTAAATTGTAGCCTTGATGGCTGTGGTAAATAAAAAATGTATTTAAGATTAAGGAATGCATAAATTGTAAGAATATCGTGAGCTAATATTATATAATGTAAATTAACATATTTGAAACTATCTGGAATGCCTACATGATATTTCTTTTATGGTGCAGTTAAATGTTAGTGGGAACCGTTTCTTGTTTCGTAGAATTTTTTTAAACAGTTTTTTTTATTTTTTTGTGGCAAGCACTGTTTGTGCGTTCAGCCAATGTCAAGTAAAAATACAAACGGATGTTTACTAAAATCGTCTTTCTTTTATTATTCTTTTTTTTATTTAAAGCTCAATGTTTTAGCTTTATGTCAAAATGCAGTCTTGACTCATAAAATCCTATTCCAAAAAATTATACTTAATCATAATTTATGCCTTTTTTTATTTATTAATACTGAAATGAAAGTCGCGGCAAAACATCACAAGAATTTTAAACACTTGTTTCGTTCCTTATATAAAGTAACCTTATTACCACAAAAAGATAAGACATGCCTTCAATTCCTGTTTAAGAAAAAAAAACAAACAAAATTTGCCTAAACAAGGTTTGAAACAGTCCCTTATATTTTTTGTAGTAAGACCGTCATTATTTACTTTCAAAGCGGTGAAGTATTACAGCAAGTTAGTGTCAAATTCGAACGTCTTTACGCTTCATTAAAAATAAGGCGCGAAAAACATCGTCGTTAAGGATTTAATTAAAATTACATTGGAAACGGGGCGCCGACGCGTATAACGTCTATTATAAAAAGTAAAGGAGCACTCGTTGTGCGTTTTACGACCCTATGATACTCCCCATAAGGTTGATTCTTGTAAAGTTATACGCGTAGTTTTTCTTATACCTACTAATCATCTTGTGCCCGAGTTGTGATGATTTTTTAAAAGGATTACTTTAATGGTGGTAAATATTAACATGAGGTAAACATATTTAATTTAGATAAAACCATTGGCCAATGATTATGTTACTCGGGCCACATATTATCTGGTAATGGCAATACTTTATCGTCTTCTTTGCCGGCCAATGTTACGCGGGCCACGTGTCATCTGGTAATGGCCTACTTGATCGTCTATTAAACCGACCATGGATAGGGTTACCATATCTCAGGATTTGTCCTGAGATTTCAGGATTTTTGGACTCTTCTCAGGATTGCGGCCGGATTTTGCAAATCTCTTGTAATCTCAGGTTTTTTTGAATTTTCAATAAAATACAGCTAACGTTTTAAAGATCTGTTTAATAAAAACTTTCACAAACTAAAAATAATCTTCCTTTGATAAAAATTTGTATAGTTAAAATCAGTACTTATTTATCCAAGTAGGTACTTGTTCAGTTTTATCATACTTAAAATGTGACGATACATATTTAAGTAAGGTTTTTTCTTTAATTATGGATTTATAAAATGCCCCACATGTTAAGCTCTTCAAATTATATTGAATTAAAAGTATAAGCAGCATGTATATAAACGATAATGTCACGGCTTTTTTAAATTGTTGTACGTTTGAGAGAAAATTCTCAAACTGTAAAAATCTCAGGATTTTTCAATGGAAATCAAGCCTTTTCTCCGGACTTTTGATTTTTTCATCTGGTAACCCTGGCCATAGAGCAACACAGCCGCGGCCAGGAGGGGAGTAGGAATTCTGTCGATTTTCCCCCGCTGTTGGGCCAGTTCTGAAATAAAACTAGTTGCGAGTCGGATATTTCACTAGACTGAGTCAAGTCGCGCGAGGGTATGTTAGAGAACAAAAATGACAAAATGTTTTATCATTTGCTGCAAAACATATCTGGAATATTAAACTTACAAAATAATGGTGTTAAATTTCACATATAAGTTGAATTATATTAAATAATATATAATTTCTATTTAACCACTTTTAAACACAAAATTCTTCAATAATATTTTGTTAAAATTCAATCGTCGGACTTGTTTGACAAACAATCGATCTGTCAATAAAGAATCTTAAGTTTCATCTATGCCCGATTTAGCGGTGTCAATTTTTATGTGTGAGTGTCATAATTACAATTTCGTTTTTGCGTAAGTATGTTGGACTGCATTTGTGTCCATATTCCTCCCCCCGCAAAAAGCGGCAGAATGATTTCAATAGTTGTCATTCTGGCTACTCCCCTCCTGGCCGCATCGTCTGTTTTGCTCTATGATGCCGGCACTTCATTTAACTATTCGAGTTTGCTATTTATAGCTTGACATCAGTGCAGTGGATCCTCGGTAGTCCGACAAACATTTTGCAGGGCAGTGTCGGACTATCGAATTTGTCGGATTAAAGAGTACTGCGTCAGACCCCCTATAGTCCGTTTTTTTTACAAAAGAGTACCTTGTAATCCGACAAATTACAGATCCAATGATAAGATTACAAATCATACTTTGTTATGTACCTATGTCAAATTTAGTAAATTAAACAACACAATATAAAGATTACGTTTTATTATAAAAGTAACGTCATTAATGCTATAGAATTTACAAAAAAATATTAAAAAAACAATACCCTACGCGCCGAGCACAGTAGTGATGGTGCGTACAAGTTGTATAACTTGTTCAATCGTGAATTAGCGAATACTTGTGTGTAATAGACGATGTCGGATTATAGAGGGTGCCGCATTAGCCAGGGGCCGGATTACCGGGGCTCCACTGTATGTCCTAATTCATAAAATTTTAATCTTAATTACCTTAACCTATTTACGAATAATATCTTATTACGTGGACACTGACGGTACGGCTAGTCCACAGGTTCAAAGTCGCTCAACACGCTTTGGAAAGGGCTATGCTCGGCGTTTCTCTGAAGGATCGCATCAGAAATGAGGTAATCCGGCAGAGAACCAGAGTTATCGACATAGCCCACCGGATTAGCAAGTTGAAGTGGCAGTGGGCTGGCCATATTTGTCGAAGAACCGATAACCGTTGGGGTAGACGAGTTCTTGAGTGGAGACCGCGTCTAGGCAAACGTAGTGTAGGACGTCCTCAGGCGCGATGGAGTGACGATTTGCGCAAGGTGGCTGGCAGGAGCTGCATGCGAGTAGCCCAAGATCGATCTGAGTGGCGTGCATTTGGAGAGGCCTATGTCCAGCAGTGGACTAAGATAGGCTGTTGATGATGATTGATGATCTTATTTACTAAATAAAAATTTGTGTAGCGCCGCCGTCAGGAATGGCGCCCAATAGGCTGGCAGCATTGCTATGTTGAATGGCAAGGCTGATCCGTTGACCAAGATAGCTGCCAGACTTTTGGTTACCAGTGACTTTGGTGAGTGTCTTTTATATTTTTTTTAAAAAAAGGAACGAGCTCTTGTACCCCATGGGCCCATAGTCTCAACACCAAACGGTACAAATATTATGCTCTACAAGGAATGAAAACAACAGACTGATGTCATGTTTACAACTAGCCAACACGAAGAGCCAAGCAAAATGCCGGCACTACAGTTTGGCATACATAGTAGGTACTTATATAAACAGAAAAAGTTATGAGATTGTTCGTTATGATATATATAAGGTAGTTTCAGAAAATTCCCAATGGGAAAGAAAGGGTTCCCATTTTCCGTTGCTACTCACCTGTTCAATAGACATAAATAACAAAGAATCTGTCTTACGACGACATTATTCTATTTAAACACTTTTTTATAGTTCGGACATTTCAATTAATATCATTTATGATATTTTATTTCGTTTAATTTTAACTTTGTATCTTAAATTAATAATAGGTATTAAAAAAAAATGCCGGCTCCTCACTTGTGCCGTGAAATGACGTGAAATATTGGCGTAAATTCGCGCCGTGAATTCACATCAGTGGTGATAACTTTCTACATTGTACGCCCGTAAGAGCGTGCGCTACGTTAAGCGGGGCACGAAGTGGACGTCCGCGCGGCGTGCAGTTTTTATGTTATTTCATAGAACAGCGCTGCGCGGGAGACCCGCTTCACGAAGCGTTGCTCTATGAAATAACATGAAACAAACACGCTGAGCGGACGCCCGTTCCGAGCACCGCTTTACGCAGCGCACGCTCTGAAGCCGTTAAAACCATCCACATTCCGTTCATTTCATGCCTGTTCACGAAGCACAAGGCACAAGTGTTGAGCCGGTATTGCAATAACAAAATTCCACGCCGTCAGCAGTATCGTTTAAAAAAAATTTGAATACAAATCAAGGATCTTTATGAAGGTGAGTGACAGTTATTGAATACGCCACTTTCTACGTAATTGACATACGAAATATGACGTTTACAAAGACAGCGGCGTTCATTCCAATTTTCGCCGCTTTCATAAAAATCCTTGTCGGACTATTATATACTATATTAAAAAGTTTCGCTCTATCTGATATAAACTAAACTCTGTCGATATATAAGTAAAATGTTAACATACTCGATACTAATGATTTCCCTTCACATTGCAGTGTTCAGTAAATATATAAGCACGTAGAAGAGAATTAATTATAGAAGAATATTGCTTATTGGGAAGGCCTGTGTCCCAGCAGCGGCGACATTAA